TATGGGACCTGAATGGGGTCTCTATGGGACACCTATGGGGTCACTATGGGGTCTCTATGGGACACCTATGGGACACCTATGGGACACCTATGGGACCTGAATGGGGTCTCTATGGGACTCCTATGGGACACCTATGGGGACACTGTGGGGTCTCTATGGGACACCTATGGGACATCTGTGCAGTCTCTATGGGACACCTATGGGACCAGAATGGGACATCTATGGGACACCTATGGGGTCTGTATGGGACACCTATGGAACCCCTATGGGACCCCTATGGGGTCTGTATGGGATCTCTAGGGGACACCTATGGGGTTTCTATGGGACACCTATGGGACACCTATGGGACCTGAATGGGGTCTCTATGGGACACCTATGGGGTCACTATGGGGTCTCTATGGGACACCTATGGGACACCTATGGGACACCTATGGGACCTGAATGGGGTCTCTATGGGACACCTATGGGACCTGAATGGGGTCTCTATGGGACACCTATGGGGTCACTATTGGGTCTCTATGGAGTCCCTATGGGGTCTCTATGGGACACCTATGGGGTCACTATTGGGTCTCTATGGAGTCCCTATGGGGTCTCTATGGGACACCTATGGGACCTGAATGGGGTCTCTATGGGACACCTATGGGACCTGAATGGGGTCTCTATGGGACTGCTATGGGACACCAATGGGACACCTATGGGGACTCTGTGGGGTCTCTATGGGACACCTATGGGACACCTATGGGGTCTCTATGGGACACCTATGGGGTCACTATTGGGTCTCTATGGAGTCCCTATGGGGTCTCTATGGGACACCTATGGGACCAGAATGGGGTCTATGTGGGATCCCTATGGGACACCTATGGGACACCTATGGGACCTGAATGGGGTCTCTATGGGACTCCTATGGGACACCTATGGGACACCTATGGGGTCTGTATGGGACACCTATGGGACCCCTATGGGACCCCTATGGGACACCTATGGGGTCTGTAGGGGACACCTATGGGACTTCTGTGCAGTCTCTATGGGACACCTATGGGGTCACTATGGGACACCTATGGGACACCTATGGGGTCACTATGGGACACCTATGGGACACCTATGGGGTCTGTATGGGATCTCTAGGGGACACCTATGGGGTCTCTATGGGACACCTATGGGACACCTATGGGGTCTCTATGAGGTCTCTGTGGGACACCTATGGGACACCTATGGG